TACTGAGACTAGTACTTGTGCTCTTTGGCACTTAGTTGGATGATTATTTCAATGATATTGAGGTCTTTATGACTGTTACTGCGAGTAAAAACTAGAGTTGAATTCAGATAGCTGTTCCTGGTTTAACTTCGTTGATGTAATTGAATCGATGTTACCTTATTATCAGTCACATTATTAATTTCTTTGCTGATTTCTTTATATCAGGCTATGGGTGATTATACGAAGATGATAAGTGACTTTTCAGTCCTGCCCTCTGAATTAAGGGAGGGCCGAGTAGGGCCATACTGGTACCATGAGGACACACAAACATTTTTTGATGATGTGGATCACTACAAAATGATCAAGGCAATGTGCCGGCTTTCATGCAATGTTTGCGATAACATGGAGGAACAAGCAATTGATGGGGCAAAGCGGCGGGCAAAGTTTCGGAACATTGAACAGCTTAAGGGTCATTTATTTCATAAACATAAATTGCTTATGTGTAGTTTGTGTTTGGAAGGACGAAAGGTTAGATTTTTATATTTTGCATTTTATAATATACTTTTCCCCTTAGAAAGGGCTGGCAAACACAATTCTGGTCACACATTTGCTAGTTTCTGTTTTGCTCGCAATAATATACTTGGGGCCCCTCTTAATGCTCCTTAAGAAATGATAATTGTCATGTTATATCTATTAAACCTTAAAGCTACCCTCTTTATATTTTCTTGGTTTTTTATGGTCTTAATGTTAGTTTTTTTCAAGGTTAGAGCCAAGAATTTCTTAGGGAGGGCAACTTTGAATAATAATAAGACAAAAAAAAAAGAAAAAAAAGAAAAAAAAGAAAAGTGAACTCTTTGAGGTAGGGGTGCAGTCGAACCGAGTAGCTAGCGAGCTACTTGGCTTCGACTCGTCACAAGCCCAGGCTCGACTCGTTAAATACTGAGTCGAGACCGAGTTCGAGTTTTGAGTACAGCTCATTTACTATTTTGAGCCCGAGTTCGAGTATGATGGTGTTCGACTCGTTGGGCTCGCGAGTTTGGGAAGCTCGTGTAAAATAGGAAGTTTTGAGAAGACATGCCATGGTTGCTGTAAGAGAAAGAGAAAGGCGTTTGAGAGAGGGAGAAAGTGAAGCTCGCAAAGGAGGTAAGGTGGCTGGTGCTAGTAACGTACTTTCGGGTTTTGTTTGTTTGCTCAAGTCAGGATGAAGTGATTAATTGTATGTGAGAAAGAGAAAGGTGAGTGAGTTGAGTTGTGGTGGGACATAGAAAAATTGTAGAGAGGATGAAGAAAAAGAGAAGAAGAAGAAAGAGGAAAAAAACTTAAAAAAAAAGGATTTAGTTTGAGAGAGAGAAGAAGAAGACGAAGATGAACTGGAGAGAGGGAGAAGAAGATGATTAAGAGGAAAGAGAAAAGGGAATGCTTGTTTCAATTACCGGAAAGAGAAAAGAGATTGATTCAAGCCTGGACTCGGCTTGAGCTTGGCTACTGTTCAAGCCAAACTCGAGCCAAGCTCGAGCTATTTGTGAGTGCTTCGAGCTCAAATGCCCCAAGCTTGCCGAGCTTGAGCCACCCATATCCAAAATCGAGCCGAGCTCTAGCCACCCACTACTCGGCTCGGCTCGGCTCTAGTACACCCCTACTTTGAGGTTTGACCAAATATGGGTTCTAACTTTTCATACTACATGGGATTTCAATTTTGACCGGAACACTGTTAGCATTTCTTCAACTAAATTTTTATGCAACATCTATGTAATACCCAGCTGAAAATACCTTTGTATTCAAGTCTTTATTTTTTTGGATTCATGATTAACTGAACAACTTGATTTGAATTATACAGGTATTTATTTGTGAACAAAAGCTATATACTCGAGCACAACTGAATCAGCATATAAAAACAGGTGATTCAGATGTGGATGGAAGTGAGAGTGAGAGAGGGGGCTTCATGGGGCATCCTATATGTGAATTTTGCAAAACCCCGTTCTATGGGGATAATGAGCTGTATTCACATATGTCTACAGAACACTACACCTGTCATATATGCCAAAGGTAATGCATGCTCTTTTGATGAGAACTTTAATGATTTATGATATGTTTTCAAGATATCTAAAAGCTCAAGTGATTTTTTGGCTGTTCTTTGTGTGATGCAGGCAGCATCCTGGGCAGTATGAATATTATAAGAATTATGATGACCTGGAGGTATGATAAATTCTCTCTTTTCTGGTTGTGGATGGGAAATGATGATGTGCTTCTTCATCACTGTTTTTGAATTGAGGATATTTGTTAACTGAAGTCTGTTTTTTGTTGCAGATTCATTTCCGCAGGGATCATTTCCTGTGTGAGGATGAAGCTTGCCTTGCCAAAAAATTTGTTGTCTTTCAATCTGAAGCAGAAATGAAGGTGAATTCTTAGACCTTATGAATATTATGCTGTGTGATTTATTTGTTGTTTGGGTAGACTTATCACCATCTTTTTAGTACATTCAACTTCAAAAAACTTAAATGAACTCCTTTCATTTTCAGAGGCATAATGCTATTGAACATGGTGGGCGTATGTCTCGTGCAAAACGTAATGCTGTTCTTCAGGTACACATATGATCTTTTATGTTAGTGTGGAGGGTCTGATTCTTCATTAGTATCTTTTGATCTCATGCTGCTTTTATTTTTCTAGTATATAAGTTGCGTTCAATTCCCTTTTTTTTAATAATTTAATTTTTGTGTATCAGATACCAACAAGCTTTCGTTACCATCGAATTAATGAACAAGATCATCGTCGTGGAAGGAGTCGGACATTTCATCGTGAATCTTCTGATGATCAACTTTCCCTGGCAATACAGGCAAGTTTGGAGACTGTTGGTGCCAATGGCTCATCTTATGATCCATCTTCATCCAGTGGTCAGCTAGTCTCAGATCTCAGAGATACAGACAATATTGACCCGCTCATCCAGCCTTTTGAATTATTAGCTACTACGGATTCAGAACCTTCAAGATACCTTCAAGCCTTGGGGCAAAACCCAAGGACAGCACCGCTAGAAGAATCTTCCTTTCCTCCCCTCCCCATGGCTTCCAGCGGCAGTCAACAAAAGCCAAGAAATACAGGTTTACCCAACAATACCATGGCAGCACATCTCCGACGCAAAAATAACAGGAAAGTGACTGTTCTCCACTCAGGTCAAGCATGGCCATCGACTAGTCGTGGCCAAGTGCAGCAATTAAATAACTCAATCCAACTTAGGCCTACAGCCAATGTTGCACCTGTAACAACATCATGGAGTTCTGGTAGTGGGCCTACACTATCAAGTTATGCAGCTTCTACTGAAACCAAGGCTCAGGCTCGACCGATAACAGTTCATGGACTTGTGTCATCTAGTTCACAGACAACTTCTGGCAATAGCAGTAGGATAAGCCACTCTGCTTCAGCCCCCAATCTTGCTGATAATGGATCACTAGAACCTTCTGTATCTGATTTCCCACCAGTTTCTGCAATGCAAATGCGAAAATTGCCCTTAAGTAATCAGCCTCCACCAAAGGTGGAGAATGTTAAAGTTGCAAACAGATCTTTGGTAGAAAAGATGCGTGCTGCCCTTCAATATGATGAAGAAAAATATTCTGCTTTTAAAGACATATCTGGACAATATCGACAAGGTTTGATTGACACAAAAAGATACCTGGAAAATGTGCACGAATATGGCCTGTCACATTTAGTTCTTGAGTTGGCTAGTCTCCTTCCTGATGCTCAGAAGCAGAAAGAGCTAGTTGAGACCTACAATGCTAGTTTGCGAGGCAGTGATGGGCAAGAGAATGGTTGGGCCCATGGCAGTTCACAGTGGAGAGAGACTAATGGCCGTAAAAAAGGTAAAGGTAAGTCTTTGGGTACTGAACAGAGTAATTCCAAAGATACGTTAGCAGATAAAGGGAAGTCTCTTGCTAATGAACTGAGTAATTCGAGGGATACTTTAGCAAATAGTGTCATAAGCAGTGTTCGAGAACTGCAATCAAGTTACAAGCCTTCAGAAGAAGAGGTGGAGGTGCTATCCAAGGATGGCTACCGTGCAACTAAAGGCAAATCAAAGGTACTTGTCAACGAGAGGGATCAGAATGATCTGTCATCTGCTGGTGGTCGATTAAATCAAATTTTGGTAGATGGGGGTGGTGGTAATAAGCAAAGAAAGAAAACCTCGAAGTTCCACAGAGTGCGGCTTGGTGATGGCTCTATGGCAACTCTTTTGGATCTTAAAAATTCAGATCCCAATCCTGATTCTGACCCATTGGATAACAGGTTAGATGGCAACCAGAACCTTGCTGAAGGATTGCCGGTACGTGGTGTTTGGCGGAAGGGTGGAGGCCAGAAACTCTTCTCTTGAGCAATGGTTGAAGAAATCTTGAAAGCAATGGGGATTTCACTAGTGTGCTTCTTGTTTTCATGATTTCATCCCAAATTCATGTAGTTCATCTAATGTGAGTATCAAGTTGGGTTGGCATGTCTGGTTTAGCCGTTTCAGGTTTTGGATATTATGCAAGTTGGTGACTTGAACAACATGCCTGAATGGGTCATCTTCTTACGCATTATTTTTGACGTAATTGCAAGTGTTCATATAGACTACAGAAACAAGAATATGGTACAAAATTTGAAATTTTTGGTTTGTGCTTGACAGATCTATCTTGAGTTGTAGCATCATGATAGGGCTGCTTGTAACGTGTTACATATTTTTGTTTTCTGTGAAATATCACTAAGAATAATTTTGTGCCCGTGTTGAAGTGTGGACTCTGGAATTTCTTACGTTGTCTGGAGTCTAGACTCTGGATGTCTCCTGATGATTGTTGCTCTAACGGTAGCCGTTGATGCGGCAAGTATATTATTCTTTATTCATTTTGGATTTTGTTAAATGAAATGAAATCAATTGAGATATTTTTTATCTTTCTAGTCTCTTGAGTCCTAACAGCATAAATTATCGGTTAGTTTGAAAAAAAAAAAGGTTTGGTTTACAAGCGGAATTCCCGCATAACCACTTTACGGACAGGCACAAGAAAACGCAGGTTGGTGGTTATGATGTTATATGAGCACAGTAACACATTCCTCGGGTTCATACAATCTGCTGAATGAATGATGTCACACGGCATATATAATAGAGCACATCCATACACAATTGTACAGACTACAGAGAATAATACAAGGAATGCATCACTTTACAAAGTTTAATGATGTTCACAAGAATGACTTCCAGCATAACCAAAGGTCTTTTCACTGCTGTAGCACATATACAGAAATCCATCCTCATCCTTGAAGGTTTCATAGACCGAGTCCAGTAGAGTAGCTACAGATAACAGTCATAAATTAACATTTCAAGAGATTATCTGAAACAGAAAGTCATGCAATATAATATACAAAAGACAAAAAACACAAGATTTTGTTCAAACTTCACCTGTTCGAGGTAACGTATTCTTCACAAATACAAAGAGAGCTTTTCCGGGGGTCAGATGAAGCCTGCTGCTTAAGATGTGAATGAATTGTCCAATAGACATGTCTCGGGGAACCAGAAATCTATTATCAAATAACAATAGGAAACTAAGTTAAGTTGGTCAAGAAATTTTTTGGAAGAAGTTTTAGTTCCATAAAAGCTTCTATCCTTTCTCCTCTCCACATTAAAGAGCACAGCTACAATATTCAGAGAAAATTTGGCTAATCTAGACCCAACAGACAAGAAATTCAGAAAATACTTTAGGTCTCAGAAGTTTCTTTAACCAAAAATTGTTCTTCAATAACTTATTGAAGTACTAGATTTATCGTATTATGTAAATTTGGGCACCATTACCAATTACCATAAGTAAATTGCCACAATTCCAATTCTTTGAGAAATTAAAACAAAATAATTTTCCCTCTGTCGAATATGGAAGGATTAGATAACTGCAGCACTGCCTAATATCCGTAATTAGATTTGTTAATGCAATCCACTAATCATAGTATACACTAAAAACGATCCAAGAACTAGATCAGTGATTGAACAGTGAATTATCTATCTAATAAAAAACCACTCTACAGGATTATCTTTCTAATAAACAAGGCTATCAAAACTATGAAAGAACCTTTACTTCTCAAATAGCTCAACAATAATGTTCAGAACTCAGATGATACTGTACATATCAACACTTCCACCCCTATCTAGTTTATTTAAAAAATAAAAAAAAAAAACTCTTTTCTTTATCATTTTTAAATTTACAAATTTAAACCAAACCACTTTATGCCCTGATGAGTAGTATCCGATCACAAGACTTTTCATACAACACTAGAATATCCAATCAAGCAAAACTAACCAGTACCCAATATAAACACTTCAGAAAGAACCTCTTACATAGCAGGTTTGTTCGCAAATATAATCTATTCCATCAACTCGCCTATTAATCCTAGTCAAGCTGCTAATGACACAGCTGAGCAACCCATCAGAATACACTATCTTTCAACGACAAAACTTCTTAAAAGAGACATGCGGTGAACACAAAAATTTGACAATGTCGCTAGATACCAGAAAGACAGATTCACCCAGAGAATAAAATTCCAATTAACAAGTCCTATTGGACTAATCCTATAGTCAATATTTGTTTTGGGAATTTAAGCTGAAGCTGAAAACTTACTTTTTCTTTTCCATTTCAGGGAGGTCAGTTTTTGAATATCTCTCAGCAATTACCTACAAAACCATTACAAAAAGGTAAAATTAAAAATAAAAATAAAAGTCATATATTGATGCAATAACAAATGCCTAGCAATGAGTTATTATATTATTTTTATGCGAGAAGTTTGGAATGAATAATTGAATTTCCATTCGTCCGCGACAATACTGCTTGTTCTAAGTTAATCACCAAACAATCAGAGAAAAGTAACAGCTGGGGCTCTTCAATTGTGGACTTACGGGGACTCGATCGGCATATTTTGCAATAACATCGCGTGATTCTTCGTATCTTTGCCCTGAAATTTTTGCATATGGAAACGGAGGTCATAATTTATTTATTTTTTAAAAACAAACAAACAAACAAACAAACAGGTATATAGAAGACATAAGAGGAAGATTGTCTGTAAGCCTTAAAAAAAAGAAGAGAACGAACCAAACGTGAACTCATCTTTGAAAGATTTTGTCTTTCCCATGTCTCACCGTATGCAAAGAGAAAGATAGCAAAACGGATAGACCACCGGAATGGAATTATTACTTAACAGAAAAAGATGGAAGTATTTTGAGTAGTCAAGTAAGTTACGGGATCGGATAGGATTCTAATTAATGAATTTTAAATTTATTTGACTGACCATATGTAGGTCACGTGTTAGATCAATGTTCACCGCTTAAGTATAATTATGGGCTCCACTATGGCCCATTTATGTTATTAGCCCATTAGTATTCAGTCAGTTGTACTTATTTTGACCCATGTCTTTTGTTGGCCCATTTGAACTTAGCTCTAGCCGATTCTACTCTGTCGTTTTGGACACCAACCCATTACTACAAGTGGACCCATTTTGAACATAGCCCATTATAATGTCTCTCTTAAATACAGCCCATATCTACATAGAGCCCATGGTATTCTCTTGTTCAACACTGGTGCATTTCTAAAGGTCAGCTCAATAGTCAATACAGCCCACAGGCAACTAAAATTTTGTAACGCTGAGGTTTTAGAGTCGGTGCAGACATTGTTCCTATTAGCATTTGGAAAACTCAAAACGCAGCAAGACGAGTTTCAAGAATTGAGCGGCAGTAGCCATGGCCGATGATCATAGTAAATGGCGGCTACACACAAGCCAATACCTTGGAGAAATCTCTGCACTCTGTTTTCTTCACCTTCCTTCTCACCTCTCTTCTCTTCCTTATCTCCTCGCTGGTACTCTTTCATTTTTCTTCTTTTATCACTACTTCCCTAAGTATCTTCTTTTTATTTAATTTATTTTTATTTTGTTGCTTCTTTATTTGGAAAAAAAAAAAAAAAAAGGTTCCGGTTCGCAAGTGCTGCTTTTTGACTTAGAAGCGGGACAATTGGTGAGGTCTTTCCAAGTTTTTGAAGGAATTCGTGTGCATGGAATTACTTGTAATTTCGTTAATTGCGCTGAAGGATCATCGTCTGCTACCGTTGCTTTCAGAGTTGCACTTTTTGGTGAAAAGAAAGTCAAATTATTTAACTTCAACTTTGAATTTAAATTTCAAAATCAATCAGATTTTATTGTGGATTTGAGTTTAGCTCAAGCGTTGCCGAGGTTGAGTCATTGGGTTTTGGACGTTTCTTTCTTGAAGGTAATAATAAATTAACATGCTTATTGCTTTACTAAATTTGAAAAAACTGCAAGCTGTGATGGTTCTTTTTTTGGTACCAGGGCCCTGAGGGTGGCCATTGTCTTGCCATAGGATGTAGCGACAACTCAGTACGTGTCTGGCACATTTCTAACTCAAGTGTCATTCTTGAAGTTCATTCTCCGGGTTCGTTCCAATTATTTCTATTTTCATAGACGATTTTTATCTGTAGTGAGATTTTTTATTATATTTTATATTTGTTCGTTTGTCTTTGCTGAAATGTAGAGATATGTCTTCTGTATTCTATGAGATTATGCGGTGATACCCTTGATACTCTCCGCATTGCATCTGGTACTATTTATAATGAGGTGACTTATTCTTCTCTAATTTATGCTTACTTTTCCCACCTTTAAAAGTTTCCATTATTTCTTAAACAATTTCTCTGTTATAGTCCTAGAGGTTAGCATTTGAACTCTTTTATTGCTACTTTATTTCTATGCAATTTGAAGATTTGTATTCGCACCAAAAATTTCAAAATATTTCTAATCAAAGAGGTTAATTGTTTTGGTATTATACTTCAAACTGGACTTGTAGCTTCCAGTGGAATCATTGAGTTTCATTAGTTCTTATGAATAATCGGTATTCACGCAGATTATTGTTTGGAAAGTGGAATCTCTATATGTTGCTTCTCTTTTAACAAATCTGGAGGAAGACCGCTCAAATGTGAGTTCACTCTCCAAATATGTAAAGCTTCATCATCAGCAATATAAAGCAGTTAACATATTTAGACTCATAGGACATGAAGGTTCCATCTTTCGCATAGAATGGTCTTCCGATGGTTCAAAACTGGTTTCTGTCTCTGATGATCGGAGGTGAATAACTTTTCTCAGTCCTAACATTCTTGTTCTTACTTTTTACTTGGAATTATTAAATTCAACAATATGCTTCTTTGTTTCAGTGCTCGCATCTGGGCAGTTCATGCTAAACAGAAAGATTCTGATAGCATAGAAGAGGAGGTTGTCAGCTCTGTATTATATGGTCATAATGCTCGAGTTTGGGACTGCAGTATTACTGATTCTGTAAACTTTACAAAATCCCTGTTTAGTTCCTAGTTCTTTAGTTTTCATTCTGGTATACATAAAAATGCATTGGAAAAGAAAAATTGGTAGAATCATGTAAAAATTAATTAATGTCTTGTCTTCTCGTCTTTCCAAAAACATCAAATGTGATTCTGAAACTATTATATGATGTTGATATTTATAGCTGATTCTCTCTTGTATGTCTTTTTAGTTCATTATCACTGCTGGCGAGGATTGTACATGTCGTGTGTGGGGATCAGATGGTAAACAGCTTAAGATGATTAAGGAGCATATGTAAGTTGCAAATGTGGTCTTCTGTCGTTGAGAATTAAAGGTTGTTTATTGCTTTATTTTACTGTTATGTGACCTCAAAACAGTTGTATAAGTTACTTAATTTCCTGCATAACTCTGAAGAGTGCAACATGTAGAAAAACAGGTGTAAAACTAGCAATTATGTCTGTCTCCTGAACCTCTTATGATACTAGTTTGTGTTTCACTTACAACTAGCATCAAAGTTAACTTAGAATCTGTGCTTTCTTTGTTCTGTATGGATTGAGTTCGTAGTACGTAATATTATTAACCATTCCAGATCTTCTTGTTGATGGTCATCAACAATTTGGTGGTCTAAGTGACTCATGATTACCAGTTTAACTACCAATTATGAAGGAAATTAGTCTTCATCTGACTAATATTTTAGTATTCATGACATAATTGTATATTTGGAAAGCATTTAGAGTTTTATCCTTGTGCAGAGGAAGAGGCATATGGCGTTGTTTATATGATCCAATCTCTTCTCTTCTTGTCACTGCTGGATTTGATTCTGCAATCAAAATGCATCAGCTACATGCTTCATTGCCTGGAAGCTTGGAGGCATATCCTGAGGCAAAAGAGTTTGATGACAGATCTGATATATTCAGTTTGCGGATCCCAAATTTATCAGAGCATATTCAGCTTATGGACAGGTAAATATTTTCAATAATGAAATCCCACAAGGTACCTCCCAAGATCCAGAATCCCCCATTTTTTATGTTCCTCTAGGTGAAAATGATTAGATGCTAATGAATGTTCAATTGGTTGTGCTGTTGTGACACCTGCAATGCAATGGAAGTTCACAAATCTTTCGTGTGTCTTTACGCTAGCCGATTCTACTCTGTCGTTTTGGACACCAACCCATTACTACAAGTGGACCCATTTTGAACATAGCCCATTATAATGTCTCTCTTAAATACAGCCCATATCTACATAGAGCCCATGGTATTCTCTTGTTCAACACTGGTGCATTTCTAAAGGTCAGCTCAATAGTCAATACAGCCCACAGGCAACTAAAATTTTGTAACGCTGAGGTTTTAGAGTCGGTGCAGACATTGTTCCTATTAGCATTTGGAAAACTCAAAACGCAGCAAGACGAGTTTCAAGAATTGAGCGGCAGTAGCCATGGCCGATGATCATAGTAAATGGCGGCTACACACAAGCCAATACCTTGGAGAAATCTCTGCACTCTGTTTTCTTCACCTTCCTTCTCACCTCTCTTCTCTTCCTTATCTCCTCGCTGGTACTCTTTCATTTTTCTTCTTTTATCACTACTTCCCTAAGTATCTTCTTTTTATTTAATTTATTTTTATTTTGTTGCTTCTTTATTTGGAAAAAAAAAAAAAAAAAGGTTCCGGTTCGCAAGTGCTGCTTTTTGACTTAGAAGCGGGACAATTGGTGAGGTCTTTCCAAGTTTTTGAAGGAATTCGTGTGCATGGAATTACTTGTAATTTCGTTAATTGCGCTGAAGGATCATCGTCTGCTACCGTTGCTTTCAGAGTTGCACTTTTTGGTGAAAAGAAAGTCAAATTATTTAACTTCAACTTTGAATTTAAATTTCAAAATCAATCAGATTTTATTGTGGATTTGAGTTTAGCTCAAGCGTTGCCGAGGTTGAGTCATTGGGTTTTGGACGTTTCTTTCTTGAAGGTAATAATAAATTAACATGCTTATTGCTTTACTAAATTTGAAAAAACTGCAAGCTGTGACGGTTCTTTTTTTGGTACCAGGGCCCTGAGGGTGGCCATTGTCTTGCCATAGGATGTAGCGACAACTCAGTACGTGTCTGGCACATTTCTAACTCAAGTTTCATTCTTGAAGTTCATTCTCCGGGTTCGTTCCAATTATTTCTATTTTCATAGACGATTTTTATCTGTAGTGAGATTTTTTATTATATTTTATATTTGTTCGTTTGTCTTTGCTGAAATGTAGAGATATGTCTTCTGTATTCTATGAGATTATGCGGTGATACCCTTGATACTCTCCGCATTGCATCTGGTACTATTTATAATGAGGTGACTTATTCTTCTCTAATTTATGCTTACTTTTCCCACCTTTAAAAGTTTCCATTATTTCTTAAACAATTTCTCTGTTATAGTCCTAGAGGTTAGCATTTGAACTCTTTTATTGCTACTTTATTTCTATGCAATTTGAAGATTTGTATTCGCACCAAAAATTTCAAAATATTTCTAATCAAAGAGGTTAATTGTTTTGGTATTATACTTCAAACTGGACTTGTAGCTTCCAGTGGAATCATTGAGTTTCATTAGTTCTTATGAATAATCGGTATTCACGCAGATTATTGTTTGGAAAGTGGAATCTCTATATGTTGCTTCTCTTTTAACAAATCTGGAGGAAGACCGCTCAAATGTGAGTTCACTCTCCAAATATGTAAAGCTTCATCATCAGCAATATAAAGCAGTTAACATATTTAGACTCATAGGACATGAAGGTTCCATCTTTCGCATAGAATGGTCTTCCGATGGTTCAAAACTGGTTTCTGTCTCTGATGATCGGAGGTGAATAACTTTTCTCAGTCCTAACATTCTTGTTCTTACTTTTTACTTGGAATTATTAAATTCAACAATATGCTTCTTTGTTTCAGTGCTCGCATCTGGGCAGTTCATGCTAAACAGAAAGATTCTGATAGCATAGAAGAGGAGGTTGTCAGCTCTGTATTATATGGTCATAATGCTCGAGTTTGGGACTGCAGTATTACTGATTCTGTAAACTTTACAAAATCCCTGTTTAGTTCCTAGTTCTTTAGTTTTCATTCTGGTATACATAAAAATGCATTGGAAAAGAAAAATTGGTAGAATCATGTAAAAATTAATTAATGTCTTGTCTTCTCGTCTTTCCAAAAACATCAAATGTGATTCTGAAACTATTATATGATGTTGATATTTATAGCTGATTCTCTCTTGTATGTCTTTTTAGTTCATTATCACTGCTGGCGAGGATTGTACATGTCGTGTGTGGGGATCAGATGGTAAACAGCTTAAGATGATTAAGGAGCATATGTAAGTTGCAAATGTGGTCTTCTGTCGTTGAGAATTAAAGGTTGTTTATTGCTTTATTTTACTGTTTTGTGACCTCAAAACAGTTGTATAAGTTACTTAATTTCCTGCATAACTCTGAAGAGTGCAACATGTAGAAAAACAGGTGTAAAACTAGCAATTATGTCTGTCTCCTGAACCTCTTATGATACTAGTTTGTGTTTCACTTACAACTAGCATCAAAGTTAACTTAGAATCTGTGCTTTCTTTGTTCTGTATGGATTGAGTTCGTAGTACGTAATATTATTAACCATTCCAGATCTTCTTGTTGATGGTCATCAACAATTTGGTGGTCTAAGTGACTCATGATTACCAGTTTAACTACCAATTATGAAGGAAATTAGTCTTCATCTGACTAATATTTTAGTATTCATGACATAATTGTATATTTGGAAAGCATTTAGAGTTTTATCCTTGTGCAGAGGAAGAGGCATATGGCGTTGTTTATATGATCCAATCTCTTCTCTTCTTGTCACTGCTGGATTTGATTCTGCAATCAAAATGCATCAGCTACATGCTTCATTGCCTGGAAGCTTGGAGGCATATCCTGAGGCAAAAGAGTTTGATGACAGATCTGATATATTAAGTTTGCGGATCCCAAATTTATCAGAGCATATTCAGCTTATGGACAGGTAAATATTTTCAATAATGAAATCCCACAAGGTACCTCCCAAGATCCAGAATCCCCCATTTTTTATGTTCCTCTAGGTGAAAATGATTAGATGCTAATGAATGTTCAATTGGTTGTGCTGTTGTGACACCTGCAATGCAATGGAAGTTCACAAATCTTTCGTGTGTCTAATTGCTTTGGTTTTCGCTTTGGCCTACTATTTCTTTATATTGTTCTTAACCTTTTATATAATTTCTTTTCTATTTTTTTTCTGTATCCATTTGTTGCAGCAAAAGTGAATATGTACGTTGCTTGCGTTTCGCTCGTGATGACACCCTTTATGTTGCCACAAATCATGGTTATTTGTACCATGCCAAATTATCTGATCAGGGGAATGTGAACTGGACTAATCTTGTCCAAGTCAGTGAAGGGGTGCCGATTATTTGTATGGATTTGTTGTCAAAAAATATGCCAGGGGATGCCTGTGCCATTGATGATTGGGTTTCTGTTGGAGATGGGAAAGGGAAAATGACAGTTGTTAAAGTTGTAGGTGACTTCTGTACTCCTCGATTAGATGTCACCTTTACATGGTCAGCTGGAATGGAGAGACAGCTCTTGGGAACCTACTGGTGTAAGTCATTGGGATATAGGTAACAGTTTTTCTCAATATTGTCATGATAAGAGAGACCAAAATATTATTTAGTGTTTTCCTAGCTTGTGCTGTGCATAGGTTCGTAAATGTCAGTGGCCTAGAACCCATTGCTCTGTATATACCACCTTTCCATTTTCAGATGACAGAGATCTTAATCTTCTTGCTTTATTTCTAAAATGTCAAAGTTATTAACAAGTTAAATATCCGGTGTCTAGGTTTGTTTTCACTGCTGATCCTAGAGGAATATTGAAGCTTTGGCAGTTAAGTGATCTGTTGTCATCTGCTTGTCAAAAATCTTCCACAACTTACAATATCTCTCTTATTGCGGAATTTTCCTCATGTTTTGGATTACGGATAATGTGTTTGGATGCATTGTTTGAGGATGAGGTACCCATTTATAGCATTTCTTTCTTTTAATTTCATTTGAATGAGGCATAAGATAAGTGATTGGTTTTTATAAAGCCCAATGAGATAGTGACAAATGTTTGTAAGATTAACTGATAGTTGAAAATCTTTTCCTTATAAAAGTTATTTTTTAATTGATTAAAAAGACAACTTACCTAATAACCAAAGATTAAGGTTTTTTAATGAGGTAAACATGGATGTAATTTGATGTACCTCTTTTGCTGGAGGTGAATTCTTTTCATTGATAATTGTAGTTGAATATCTGCAGGTGCTGGTATGTGGGGATCTACGTGGTAATCTGGTTTTATTCCCTTTGTCAAGGGACCTGTTGCTTGGCACATCTGCTGCATCAGAAGTGAAGATATCTCCTCTAAGTTATTTTAAAGGAGCTCATGGGATATCAACTGTGTCAAACATTTCAGTTGCTAGACTAAGTTCAAATCAAATTGAAATTCGCTCGGTATGACCAGACCTCAGGCTTTTAGAGATGCTAAGAAATAAGTCATAAATCTTGCTGTTAAGCATTTTCTTAAAAAGGGGTTTTGTTAACATATTTTACAGTTTTTGTGTACTTTGGCAGTCGTTTTTTGTTTCCACAAGAAAAAAGGGGAAAAATAATTTTTTTTGAAGAACTAATATGAACATCAGCGTAGCAAAGAGAGGTTATAAGAACTAACAGAATGAAAACTCTTGGCTTGGAACATCATAAAGTTTTTGGCAATCCACTAGCTGAGAAGTGTATGCATATGCACATGTATGTCTGCATATGAACATGTATTTGTTCTATTTATGCAAACATGTAGTTGAGGTTTGAAAGTGTGTTTGCTCTTTAGCTGTTTTTCTTTTTCTTGTTCAGACTGGAGGAGATGGCTGCATATGCTATTTGCAATATGACAGGGATCGTGAAAATTTGGAATTTATAGGGATGAAGCAAGTGAAAGAGCTAAGTTTGATTCAATCCGTCTCTGCGGGTAACAACTCTGTTGATGATCTGGCGAGCTGCAACTATGCAGCTGGTTTTGCATCAGCAGATTTCATAATATGGAACTTAATAACTGAGGCGAAGGTTAATCTCCCCACCTCCTCCCCCCTGCTGAATAAATTGATAAGGCAAGTATTTCCATTGTCCCATTGATTGTCCCTTTTGATGCCTAAAGGTGCATGTTGGCACAGGTTCTGCAAATTCCATGTGGTGGATGGCGGCGTCCTCATTCTTATCTTCTTGGTGATGTACCAGAGATAAGGAACTGCTTTGCCTATGTCAAGGTAAGTTGAATTACCACTTTTAATATCCTTCTATCTGAAATCTGGACATTGAGTATATTGTGGATTTACTCTGCATGACATATTAGGGGCTGTGACTATTGCATGGTTAGGTTATGTTTGAAATTAGTTGATACTATGTGATTTATACAATGACAAATTTTGGAAACAGTTATATGATTAGGATGGTCTGAAGGCAGTTGTACTCAGCTCTAATGGGGCCCAGATATAGGGATGTCATTGGAGTCCTTATTGGTGTCCAACAGTGTAAATCTTGAACCATGATACCACTGTGATTTCCCACCAATTTTATGATACCAAAGCTACAAATCTGTCAAAAGTGTCCTTGAAATGACCATTGGGCTTTTTAAAGTTGTGTATTGAGTCAAATTCTTGTACTATTATTATTGGTAATTCATATCTATTATGTTCTTCAAGTTCATCTTTATCCCCGCATCTTATAGAATTTTCTTTTCAAGGATGAAGTTATCCATATTCGTAGACGCTGGACGCTGGAAAGTGATAGGAAGATGTTTCCTCAGAATTTGCATATGCAATTTCATGGGAGAGAAATGCATACGTTGTGCTTTGTCTCTGAAAATTCTCAAGTTGGAGCCAATGTGGAGGAGAATCCTTTTGACAGATCTAGTTGGATTGCCACTGGCTGCGAAGATGGAACTGTAAGGCTGACTAGGTATGCTGATTGTCACAGATTATATGTTACTATATTGAATTTATATCCACTCGTTGCTCATCTATGTCCACTTGAGTGTAAACCCTCCGTACCCTTCCTGGCTCTGATTTTTCTAAAATAATTTATCACATTGCTTGAATTGATATTGAATCTTTATGCAGCCATCTAACTGCATGATTTTGACTTAGGTATTCTTCTGGAGTTGATAATTGGTCTGCATCTAAATTGCTTGGGGAGCATGTTGGTGGATCGGCTGTCAGATCCATATGCTCTGTGTCAGAAATACATCTAATTTCTTCTGATGTGAAGAACGCATCTGATGATATAAATGGACAAAAAAGTGCAGCAGAGGATGAAGAAAAGCTTTTCTTACTGATATCAGTTGGTGCTAAGCGGGTTTTAACTTCTTGGCTGCTAAGAAATAGGAGGATGGACAATGTGGAAGAAACACCTGTTGGACAAAAACATGATAGAAGTAGAAATGACTACAAACCTTCACTAGGAGCATCCTCAACTTTGTCATTCCAGTGGCTTTCCACTGACATGCCAACCAAGAATTCCAGTACTCATGGAAAATCAAAAGACGTTCAGAAACTGGTTGGCATTACCAAAAATGTTACTAATATGAATACTGATGCAAATACTGGATCAAGTTTTCCAGAAGGTGGGGAGACAGAATCAAAAACGTATCTTGGGGATAAATATGAAGATGACTGGAGATACCTGGCCGTCACTGCGTTTCTGGTTAAATGTCCTGGGTCCAGGTGAGATGAATTATGATTTATTCTACTATTTTGTATTACTTTTTTTTTTTTTTTTTTTTTTTTTTTAACCTGAAACCAAGTATGATAAAAAACCTTCTCTCTTATTTGTCTTCTCTCAGGTCAACTGTCTGTTTTGTTGTTGTCGCCTGTTCAGATGCCACACTTTCATTACGGGCCCTCATTTTACCACACCGATTATGGTAGACACATTCAGCATTTGGTTTACTTACTGATTTTCTATGAACTTCAATTAAGTCACATGTATACCAAGTCATACTTAAGATTTACTTTTTCTTCTTAACTCATAACAGGTTTGATGTTGCATTGTTGGTTCCTCTGTCATCACCGGTATTGACATTACGGCATGTAATCATACCTATACATCATGCTTCTAAGGGTTAGTCTATTATTGGATCTCTAATTATGTTAGAACTTAGAATAACTATTGTGGAAATCATTGACTTTGCCATTACTACCTTTCTGGCAGAAATTATCCTTTTTGTAATAAAATCTGTTATGTGTATTAACATATAACGTAACTCAGAAATCTTGCAATTTTGTTTGTGTACCATTGCTTTCTCTGAGTTGGTTGGAGCTAGTAACACAGTCTTTAACCTCCAAGTTGACAATACTGTGTAGATTTATCTCCAAGTTCTAGGTCCCATCTTCTCGACTCTATGCAGCTACAGCCCTTCTTCTTTAAATTTTGAAAAAATTTAAATACTGATTTTTAGGGGAAATTATTTGTACAACTCACTATAAAGTCACTTCATGCTCGAATCTTTTAGTTTGCTGTTTAAAAAAATAGCATGTTAAGAGAAAGTATTTAAATGATTGAATATCAATTTCCAGCTTTGTAATTATTTGTATTTTTGGCTTTCTTATGTGTTTCATTTTTCTGCTTGGTCTCATTAACTCTTATAAACTTGATTACAGAGGATTTTCAAATTGGATCTGTATATTATGTGATTAGTGGGGCCACTGATGGAAGCACTGCCTTCTGGGATCTGACTGAGAGTGTTGAAGCTTTTGTGCGGCGAGTTTCAACTCTTCAGATTGATAAGTTCATTGATTGTCAGAAACGACCAAGGACTGGAAGGGGAAGTCAGGGTGGACGATGGTGGAGAACTTTAAGCAGTACCAAGCCTAAGAAAAAGCCAGGCTGTAATTCAAATACTGTGCAATCTGGAGAGGGAGATTATTGTGATACACTAAATCATGCCACATGCAGTGTGTCAACAAAATCAAACGAGACGGAAAAGGGCACTGTCAAAGCTTTGCATAATGCTATCTCTGAGCGAGAGTTGAACCCTGTTGATCCTGCTTCTGAAATATGTGAAATTCGGCCTATACATGTTATGAGTAATATTCACCAATCCGGTGTCAATTGTCTCCATGTTTCAGAGATGAAAAACTGTCGAACAAGTGATTGTGATTTTCAGTTCTGTGTAGTAAGTGGAGGTGATGATCAAGCTATTCATTGTCTTAAATTTGATTTGTCTCTGCTATCTACTGGTTTGGATTCCAAGATTATTGCACCAGAAGTTGTAAATTCGATCACTGAATCCGAAAATGTAAACATAATTTATTATGGTCAAAAGCTGAACAAGAGTTATAGGATCAGATTTTTTAATAATTACAGAGTTCCCTCTGCGCATGGCTCCGCTATAAAAGGTAAAATATTCCTCATAAATCCTTTCAAACTTAGCATTTGAATGTTATAGTGTCTCTGTGTTCCAGAATGAGTAAACTCATGAAGTTCTTGTCTTTTTGTTTTTTGCCTATTGCTTTCCTTATAGTTTGCTTACTTGGAATTTTTCTGGTATTTATATTTTTTATCATAGAAATTTCTCTCTAAATACTTAGACTTCCTCCCACGCTAAGAGACACCTGAGTGACTTGAATATTTTGAATATTCCTATCAACTTTTAACTATCAAAAAGCTTTCACATGATGATTTTATAAATAAATTTTCCACATAATATACAAATTTATGATATATATGCTTTTTAAAGACTTGCTGTTGCCCTGCAAAAACAAGAACAGACATATATTGTCTGAACAAGGTATTTCATGCGAGCTTCTTTCATTGCTGATGGATTTTAAATGGATTAAAGTTTGGTTTTCTTTCATGAAGGAATTTGGACAGATGGGGCCTGGGTGTTCTCTACCGGTCTTGATCAACGAGTCAGGTTCTGGCTTCTCGAGGAGCAAGATAAACTGATCGAGCATGGTCATTTAATTGTTTGTGTGCCAGAGCCAGAAGCACTGGATGCTAGAGCTTGTGGCAGGTGAGTGAACTATCTTACATACAACTTTCAATACATGGCAGTTGCTTGTGAAGGGATGATTAGGCTGTGCACAGTCATATGATTAAAACACTTTCTTTTGTGTATCTTTTCATGGGAGCTTTGGTTTCTTTTTCCCCTCTTCAGAAACCGATATCAGATTGCTGTAGCTGGAAGAGGAATGCAAATAGTTGAGTTCTCTGCATCTCATGCTGTGAATGTGTGACAATAAAGTGGCTTCTGGTGATTGTGATTTCAATCCATACTCAAGGTGATGAGGGAGCCAATTATTTCAGCATAGCCAGGTTTTCTTTATTTCTTCTTCTGACTCTCACAAATTTTTAACGAGTGTGTCATAATCATAATTGACAATTTGACACTTGAAAATTGGAGGTACAAGAGTCTTTCCATGTGGGGAACTAAATACTGATCAACCTATTTTTGAGTTTCGAGTTGACTAGCAAATCCATGTTGATTTTTTTTCTTTTCTTTTTTCTTTCCCGTTACAACATACACAAATTCCTTATAAAAAGATTAATTCCCACACAAAGGTTGAAAATCTGCTGGGGTTCTAAATGCATCTTTTAGAGAAGTCTGTAATTTAAACTACACCAGCTTCTATTATCACTTTCTAGTAATAATTGGTATTATTTATTGGAAGTTCCAATTGAATTACTATGTTGAATGATTGATCCAATATATTCCCTGCATATGTGTACAATCTATAATATAATATTTAGACAGTAGAAATTTTGGCTACACAGAATTTCTAGTATTACTTTCCTGGGACGAAGTTGGTAGCATAAGCGCAAGCATTGTTGTTCACAGGGTCGGCAAGATGATCAGCAAGGTTCTCCAGAGATTCCTTTCCAGTTACAATAGCCTGCACAAAGAACCCAAACATAGAGAAGATGGCAAGCCGCCCATTCTTAATTTCCTTAACCTTGAGCTCAGCAAATGCCTTGTGATCTTCAGCTAGTCCCGAGGGGTCAAAGCTGCCACCTGGGTAGATGGGGTCAGTTACCTCCCCAAGCGGTCCACCAGCAACACGGTATCCTTCAACAGCACCCATGAGGATAACCTGGGTGGCCCAGATTGCTAAAATGCTCTGAGCATGGATCAGACTTGGTTTTCAAGATAGTCAAGACTCAAGACGATCTTCACTGAAGATTTGAGCACCGGCCTTGAACCATACTGCCGCTTCAAATTTGACTCCATTTCTGGAGAGGAGTTCTGGAAAGACACATCCCAAAGCCCCAGTCATTGCCCACCTGGAATGGATGACTTCAAGTTCTCGGTTTTTGGCAAAGGTTCCAGGATCTGCTGACAGCCTGGCTGTGTCCCACTTGTAATCACCTGGGAATTGACCAGTTAGGTAAGATGGGGCCTCTCCACAGAATGGTCCAAGGTACTTGACACGGTCAGGACCATACCAGGGGCTTCCGGAGGAGCAGCAGGTTTTCCTGCTGACTTCCTCATTGAGACTCTACCATTGCTGCTTTGGACGGTTGTTGAAAACTGTGTGCATTTAAAGGAATTGTCTTCCCTGTGAATGGTGGGTGCTACAGTGGTAGTGCTACCGCTTCTGATGAGTTGACAGGAAATTTAAGATTGGTCTTATATAGGGTGTGGTGAGGTCCACGATTCTATCAGTGTGGATCTTCACCTGCTTCCTGATTGGTTCATGAGATGATACAAAGATTCAAGAATCTAACTCATCCTCCCAACCAATTGATGAAGGGTACATTGGATTTTGTTCAAATTATTTGGGCATCTCCCATAACTGAAGATATCCTATGGCATTTAACCCACAATTCTAAGAAATCTTTTCTCAGCACTAAATGAACTGACGGTATAATTTGAATTTTCAGTCGATTTGGATTTGACTATCGGAAGTTTATCATAGCTCTGCATGATCTGGGTTTAATTTGATCAGATCTAACGTTCCAAGTCATTAACAAAATGTTTAATACCAAGATTATTACCACCTTTCAAATATATTGATTGAAAGATATCTTCGTTGGTGGCTCAACCATGTGAAGTTGCAAGTTCATCATCATGAGCCGAGCCAAGTTAATAATAAAGACGAACTAGAAAAAATCCGATGTATGGGCTGAACATTGGTGAATATTTTAAGACAGCAAGGGTGTGTTCTTCGTGCTTTTGACTGTTGAAGTTGAACCATTAGTTTCCGAGTAAAATATGAGTATTCTTGAATAATTCATTACAAGTACAGAAGGCATATTTGAAACGTAGTAGATCACATATATAAGAAGATTTCGAACACAGAAAATTCAGAACTTTCAATTAGCCATGTTCATTACCTCCCATGTGAGTTGCACTTGGACAAACAAAGCAGTCAAGCTTTATTAATTTATTGTTCTTAATGTTGGAGTCTGAGGTAATCATGAAAATATATTTCAGTGCTGTAATAATAGAAGCAATAACCAAATGGAAGCCCAGTATCTGTCGTCGCGGCATGCTGCTGGCAACGTGCTTCCGCATTGGAAAATTAGATAAATTAAAATTTTGTGCACACAAATTAGATTTAAAGCAGCGGAAATTATACTTACAGAAGCATGCATTGAAGATTTTGGTACTTTTGTAATTGCAGGATGAAGGTACCTCATACCATTTTTTAGATGGGGACAAGAAATAATTGTTGGTCATTCATACATTTATTTATTTTTGTTTTTTAGACACTTGTGCTCAGAGGTGTCGGTGTTGATCATTTATGCGTGCGGCATGCTGTCTTAAACAGTTACTATACGGATCATATTCATATATATAAATGAAGATGGTGTTTTAATATTTAGTGAAATAATGAATGTCTTTGAGATCTTTCCATGGCATGGGCGGGCCCATTAATTAAGCCTTAAAGGTTAATGATGTAAGATGAGCCCTACAAGTTTAGAACGGTGAAATAAAATAAATACAGATCCTCATCCTCTCATATGCATTTGGATCCAATGGATTTTTATTTTTAAATAAGGGTCCACTTTGACAAGGCCATCCCATCTTATCTGACCAACCAGAAAGAACCGCCACGTGCCCAATGTCCAAGCTTTTGGGAATTCATTGTAATGCTTGGGCGTAGGATCGCACCTAGCTTAGCTCCTATTGAATCCCAACTGCTCCCACTCACACTCATAGTTGTTGCCAAGTCATTTTATTTTAAAAATATATTTAGTTTTGGGACCTTCACATTCACATTGGCTTTGGCTTAGCTTTCTTTTGGTTTAATTTGCTTTTTTAAGTGGCTATATTGGGTTGGTGGCCAGAAACAGGCGACACTATGACTTAATTACCTTATTTTCAACAACTTCATTATTTTGGACTTTTACATTCTATCATTCCATCCATATTATAGAGACTGGAGTTGTTCAACACTCACCAACAAACATTTTCTTTTAAAGTAATTAATAGTATTATTCATCTACCTATGTTGTTCTTTTGAACTCTCCATTCAATAGTAAAATATATCTTACCTTTCTTCTGTTGAACATATTTGTTTTCTTGTTCAATTGTAAAAATAATATTATCATAATCTTTGTCAAATAAGTAATATATGGAATATAATTATAATATTTACTATATTCTCAAAATTATCATTGATGGTTGGATGTGGTAGTTTGGATTTCATTGAATTGTCCAAAACGGTATCTACTTAAATTATAAAATAGTCTTCCTTTGTGACCAATATTCTATTCCCATTAACCACAACTATCAACATTTCTCTTCTTTTTAAATGATCAAATTTCTACATAAATCCACAGATGATATTTTTATAATATTTTATAAAGATAAGAATAATTTTATCACTTGAAATAAAGAGATATATATGGGTAAATTTTGTTCTTTCATTCTTCCGAAAATATCATACATTAATGGTGAATCTTTTATCTCTTTTTGTTAAAAAACAAAAAACAAAAAGAAACGACATCGCTTTCAACTTTTAGGTTTCCAGCTCAATATGCCATTGCCACTGTATTGTCGGCGGCTTTGCATTTAGAAGACGAAAACACCCTCCGAAATCCATGCTTTATAGTATACTAGTTTTAAAGCGTTGGTTTGCGGGGACAATATCTTTTTAATTACATTAATATCCCATGCATATATACAAACTATTTTAAATTACCATTTAAATATAGAGATTAAATGCATTAATGATTCTACGGTGGTCCCAGTACGCAAGTACCCTGGCTACCGGATACACAGGTAAGCGAGCCATGTCGAAACCAATTACTCGACTAAACTCAAGTTTCAAGGCTGTGCACAGTCATGATTAAAACACTTTCTTTTGTGTATCTTTTCATGGGAGCTTTGGTTTCTTTTTCCCCTCTTCAGAAACCGATATCAGATTGCTGTAGCTGGAAGAGGAATGCAAATAGTTGAGTTCTCTGCATCTCATGCTGTGAATGTGTGACAATAAAGTGGTTTCTGGTGATTGTGATTTCAATCCATACTCAAGGTGATGAGGGAGCCAATTATTTCAGCATAGCCAGGTTTTTTTTATTTCTTCTTCTGACTCTCACAAATTTTTAACGAGTGTGTCATAATCATAATTGACAATTTGACACTTGAAAATTGGAGGTACAAGAGTCTTTCCATGTGGGGAACTAAATACTGATCAACCTATTTTTGAGTTTCGAGTTGACTAGCAAATCCATGTTGATTTTTTTTCTTTTCTTTTTTCTTTCCCGTTACAACATACAGAAATTCCTTATAAAAAGATTAATTCCCACACAAAGGTTGAAAATCTGCTGGGGGTTCTAAATGCATCTTTTAGAGAAGTCTGTAATTTAAACTACACCAGCTTCTATTATCACTTTCTAGTAATAATTGGTATTATTTATTGGAAGTTCCAATTGAATTACTATGTTGAATGATTGATCCAATATATTCCCTGCATATGTGTACAATCTATAATATAATATTTAGACAGTAGAAATTTTGGCTACACAGAATTTCTAGTATTACTTTCCTGGGACGAAGTTGGTAGCATAAGCCCAAGCATTGTTGTTCACAGGGTCGGCAAGATGATCAGCAAGGTTCTCCAGAGATTCCTTTCCAGTTACAATAGCCTGCACAAAGAACCCAAACATAGAGAAGATGGCAAGCCGCCCATTCTTAATTTCCTTAACCTTGAGCTCAGCAAATGCCTTGTGATCTTCAGCTAGTCCCGAGGGGTCAAAGCTGCCACCTGGGTAGATGGGGTCAGTTACCTCCCCAAGCGGTCCACCAGCAACACGGTATCCTTCAACAGCACCCATGAGGATAACCTGGGTGGCCCAGATTGCTAAAATGCTCTGAGCATGGATCAGACTTGGTTTTCAAGATAGTCAAGACTCAAGACGACCTTCACTGAAGATTTGAGCACCGGCCTTGAACCATACTGCCTCTCCAAATTTGACTCCATTTCTGGAGAGGAGTTCTGGGAAGACACATCCCAAAGCCCCAAGCATTGCCCACCTGGCATGAATGACTTCAAGTTCTCGGTTTTTGGCAAAGGTTCCAGGATCTGCTTACAGCCTGGCTGTGTCCCACTTGTAATCACCTGGGAATTGACCAGTTAGGTAAGATGGGGCCTCTCCACAGAATGGTCCAAGGTACTTGACACGGTCAGGACCATACCAGGGGCTTCCGGAGGGGGCAGCAGGTTTTCCTGCTGACTTCCTCATTGAGAGTCTACCATTGCTGCTTTGGACGGTTGTTGAAAACTGTGTGCATTCAAAGGAATTGTCTTCCCTGTGAATGGTGGGTGCTACAGTGGTAGTGCTACCGCTTCTGATGAGCTGACAGGAAATTTAAGATTGGTCTTATATAGGGTGTGGTGAGGTCCACGATTCTATCAGTGTGGATCTTCACCTGCTTCCTGATTGGTTCATGAGATGATACAAAGATTCAAGAATATAACTCATCCTCCCAACCAATTGATGAAGGGTACATTGGATTTTGTTCAAATTATTTGGGCATCTCCCATAACTGAAGATATCCTATGGCATTTAACCCACAATTCTAAGAAATCTTTTCTCAGCACTAAATGAACTGACGGTATAATTTGAATTTTCAGTCGATTTGGATTTGACTATCGGAAGGTTATCATAGCTCTGCATGATCTGGGTTTAATTTGATCAGATCTAACGTTCCAAGTCATTAACAAAATGTTTAATACCAAGATTATTACCACCTTTCAAATATATTGATTGAAAGATATCTTCGTTGGTGGCTCAACCATGTGAAGTTGCAAGTTCATCATCATGAGCCGAGCCAAGTTAATAATAAAGACGAACTAGAAAAAATCCGATGTATGGGCTGAACATTGGTGAATATTTTAAGACAGCAAGGGTGTGTTCTTCGTGCTTTTGACTGTTGAAGTTGAACCATTAGTTTCCGAGTAAAATATGAGTATTCTTGAATAATTCATTACAAGTACAGAAGGC